AATTCTGGCCAAAGACTTTTTGTTCCTTAGCTAATAAATGTTTTTGTTTTACATACTGTGTCATTTGTGACATTAGATGATTTCTTATCACAGGAGAAGATATGTTGTAAATATAGAATAAGTATTTTCACCCTGGGTTCGTTTTCGTGCCAACAGTCTTTGGACTCGAGCTGCGACATGGTTTGCCTGAAGGAGAGGATCCAGAAGTCCCAGGATGAGCAGGAGAAGAGAGAGGAGCGTCTCCTGCAGGCGCAGACTCTCCAGCAAACAGGTAGCAGAAATAAACAAACCACCAGTCAGAGCGGCTGTTGACGCTCTGACGGCGCTCCGGGGTGTGAAATCTGAGCGAAAGCCTCACTCTCCCCTCCACTCCGCTCACCGACTCCCCTTTTTAGATGTGGAAGACGAGGAGGAGATGCTGAGCTTCGCAGATCCATCACGTTTCATCACAGACCCCGACTTCTGCTACCAGGAGTTCGCCCGGCGTGACGAGGATCACCTCCAGGTGCTCAGAGTTCAGGTGAGGCCAGGCATCGGTAAACGAGAGAGTCAGCGCCGACACTGAATGCAAACATTGATCTGTTTGATCAAACTTCCTGTATCCCTAAAAACAAAATATTCTTCTAATGTATTTATAAATAAAAAATGTATTTATAAAATGTATTTATGAATAAAAAATAATGGAAAATCTAAACACTATACTGCTTTTATAAAATTGTCAGACTGGTTTACGTCTTTATGGCTCTTATTAAATATTTTGGATGGTTTTAATCATTCAGTCTTCTGTAAATTGATGGATTTGTCTCGTTATTTTTTATTTTTTTCAGGATTACTCCTGGGAAGTACACGGCTTCTCCCTGATCAACAGATTGTACTCGGACATCGGTCACCTGCTGGACGACAGGTTCAGGAGCGTCACTTCGCTCCCGTCGCTGCACAGCTCCGACCTGAAGAGAGCCATCTGGAATTACATCCATTATGTGTTAGGAATACGGTAAGACCACCAGCACACCGAATTAAAACCAAAACATGAGCTGCTCCTGCCCATCTACTAGATAAACATCTGCCGACTTTTGTTCTCAGTTATGATGATTATGACTACGTGGAGGTGAACCAGCTGCTGGAGCGAGACCTGAAGCTGTACATCAAGGCTGTGGCCTGTTTTCCAGACGTCACTAAAACCCCGGTGTGTCCGCTGAGCTGGACTCTGCTGAAAGCCTCAGAACGGGTAAGACAGGATTTCACCGGCCCGTTACAGAAACCAGCATTTACAGGTTCTGCCTGAAAAAACTAAATTCATTTGTACAAAGATCTAACTTCAGAAGCAGCTTTTCAAAGTCGACTAGCAGATTCTGCTTTTTTTGATTTTCTGAATTATTTCAGAGATTAATTTCTGATTGTAAAGTTCCCTTTTAGTTCCAAAATTATACTCAAGTAAAAGTAGGACGACTTCAACTTTTGTTTACTTAAGTAAAAGTAAAAAGTAGCCGTAGGCAAAATGCAGCACAATATTTTTTTCTAAGTAATTTCCTTTCAATGTAGAACAAAATTTATCAAAAACTGCCGGTGTGTCCTTTCATTATCACCTGAAATCCACAATATTCTCGCTTATCGGGACAATTTATGTCCAGCTGAATTTGATATGCTTACAGGCGTATTTGAGGAGAAGCTCTGTCTTCTTCTTCTGTCCTCAGATACACGTCAACTTGCTGATCATGGAGGCCCGGCTGCAGGCGGAGCTCCTCTATGCTTTAAGAGCCATCACTCGCTATATGATTGCCTGAATCGCTGGTTCAGACGGCCTCCGGTACAGAGAGACCCTGAGAGGATGAGGAACGTTGAACTGCGGTGACGCGGGGCGGGAAGCGGCAGATTCAACGTGTTTATTATGCCCCTTCCCCCACATCTCTCACCTTTCTCAGAAAACATCCTGCCTCTCTAAAGGTTATGTGCAATTATTAGTAGTAATTTTAAAATTTCCCTGTTGTCTTGTGTTCCAGTTGAGTCTGTGAGAAGCTGCTTGTTTGCAGCATTGTGTTATCAGTTGCCAACACTCCTATTTTTTCATTAGACAAGTCTCCTTTTGTATTAACTATGCTTTCCCAAAAAAGAAAAAAAAAAGTTTTTTCTTGTACAAGGTGAATGAATGTTAATGGAAGATCAGGGGCTTTTTGTTTGTTTTTTGACAATCTTTGTCAATTTTGAAGGATGTTTCTTGGACTGTGACGCTTCCTGACATTTCGTATTGATTGCTGGTCGCGAACAAACAGCCGTGACTGCTGGAAGTTATCACATCACTAGTTTCTTTTAATAAGCACTTTTATAAACTTTATATATTTATAATGCAATGTAGCTCATCAATAGACATTAAGACAAAGTGTGTGGGTCCGACACCTTTCCTCTCCTCCTGTTTTTGCGTTTCCGCCCCAGGTTTCTGAGAAGGTACTTCATTTGAGACGTTTTTCTTTCTTCCTACTTGCGTTACGTGGAGACAGAAGGAATTCAAAGATGGTGGACGTTTGCAAACAAACTCCTCTGAGAAGCTGAGCCACTCGGATCACGCCTAATATCGAATGTTATTGGCAACATGTTACAGAAGAGTTTTGTGAATGAAAATTTGTGTTTAAGTTGCATGTTTGGGCTTTTGCATTTGTACTTTTTCAAGTCTAATTAGGTTAAAACTCATCTAAATTTTAAAAGCAGAAAATAAGCAAACTGTATCCTTTTTCAGTTTTTTTTTCTTATTATTTTTCCATTTTTCTGTACATTTTTGGCGTTATTCCCTTTGTGTTGTTCTGTGTGTGACTGTAGGACCTGCTCGTTGCGCTGCAACCTGAGTAGTCGTAGACGTTTCACAGACTGTAGTTAGATTTAGCAACGTGCAGAAGAAACAAGTGCATATCGACTTAAAACAAAGCAAAAGCGCTGTTATAACACAGGTGCCTTTAGGCGGAAAAAACTGGAGCGCTGCTCAAGTGGAGGGTTGTTACTGCTGGAGGCTGGACCAGGGCATCGATCGGCGGCTTCTCCAAGTGGAAACGGATGTTTTCTTTTCCCCCCGCAAGACGGTCGGCGTCATTTCCGATGAATATTACGCCCGTTTTTTTTCACCTTCTGCTAAGTCCCAGCATCTCAGCAAGAGCCTTTGACACAGATGGATGTTAAAAAAATGGACAACTATATTTAAAACAAAAAGTACAAAAAAGAGAATAAGTGCAAAGACAAAAAATGTTTTTGAAAATGTAAACATGTTTTCTATAAAAAAAAAAAATTATCATCAAAACAAACCGTCTTTTGTCTTTCTTTAGAAACCAACTCCCATCTGCAAACTTCCACTTTTCACAGACGGAGCTTTAAAGCATGTTTACAGCTTCAGTTTTTATGTTGTGTGTTTGGACTGACTCCAAGTTCCACCATGTTTATCTCCAAGCAAACATGCTAACTTATCAGAGATATTGCTGCAACCACATCAGCCACTTATCAAATCTTCAAGGACTGGAGTTTCAGAGTTCCCAAGAAAGTCCGGAGAGTTCTTGCTCAAGGATAACAAGCAGGCAGGTGTGAGTCAAGAAGGGCGGCGAAGAGGCCACGTGTCTCCAAAAAAGAAAAACACAGCGAGGACAGATTGAGAGGAAGAAGCTGGAATAACGCTTCCCTTTTCAGGTCCAATTTAAAGGAACATACCAGCAAATTGATAATCCATATATTATTAATCCCAACTCTCAACTAATGTGTTTCTAGTTTTGATTTAAAGGAAGTCAGTGTTTTGGCAGTTTTGTGGTTTTCTGGAAGTTTGTTCAGATTAATGTTCCAGATTAGATGCTGAATGCTGTTTTTCCATGTTTGGTTCTGGTCTTGGGGATGCAAACCAGAACCAGAAGACCTGAGTGGTCTGCAAGGTTGATGCAACAGCTCCAGGGGTGCCTAAAGTGAGTAAAGTGGGTCCTAGAGGGCCAACATCCTGCAACCTTTTCAGCATGTCAGTGTTTTTCTTAGGCCATCTAACGAGCCACCTTTGGATCCAACTGTGCTAAACCAGGGAAAGACCTAAAACATACAGGATGACGACCCTTGAGGGCCTACTTTGGGCACCACTGATTAAAGTCAGATCCATACATTTGAAAAAAGATAAAACACGTGGATGAGTTTCTCAAATTTTTGTTGGGGACATTCCTCCTTAAATATTAGAAATGTTCTTCAGGTTATAAAAGGCCGACTTTGTAAACATCTTTATGTGTCTCTGAAGTTTCAAGTCCATCACTTCAGGCTTGATCACTAATTTCTAGCTGTAATAAGAAAAGGAGATCGGGATTTCTCTGTTGCTGCTCCTAGTCTATGGAATAATCTACCCTTTTAGATTCGATTTGCCCACAGTCTGGGTCTGCTCAGATGAAAAGTTGCCTGTTGACACAAAGAAATCCCAGCTGTTCAGGTAAAACTCAAACCAGTCCAGTACTCTGACCTCAACTTCAACAATATGTGAAAGTGAAAGTTGATGTTTGTAGCTGCAATGCGAAAAAAAAAAGAAAAATTTCAAAGGCTATAAATATTCAATGAGTGAATTTTATAAACACGGTTAAGAAACTCGAGATCGTAATCTGATGGGAGCTTGAGGTCTATCGTCAAAATAAAAACCTGAAAACCTGCCATCACTGATTAACCACACGGGTTTCAATCAGGATCTGATCCAGAAATCCAGTAAATCTCTGAGTCGGTATTAAGTTGACTTGTTCCTCAATAAAATCCTAACATTTGTTCAAAACTGCAGTAAATTATAAATGCAGGGACATTTGAGAAACCATGACTCCACTTAGATACAGTTTCATTTAAAATGTACATTTTATGTTGATATAAACAATTATATTGAAGTGTTCGTTCCATCCAAAAATAAATTTATATAAATTCTGTTTATCTCAGAAAGTAACGGAAGTAGCTGGAGCAACAGCGCCCTCTGGTGGCAGAACTTGAAGTCTGCAGCGTCACAAATAAGTGAAACCGAGTGGGTTAAACATTTTATTGAATTGATTTCTGCATCTCTACTTTTATCTCTGGCTGACTTTACAAAGTGTAAAGAAAAGAATAAGAAGAAAAAGCAAAGAGGAGGGAAAAGAAGAAGAAAAAGAAAATATTCACATGACTAAAAAACACAAACATTAATTGGCTTCTGCACAACCCATCGCCCCCCTAAGCCAACTTTTAATGCTGTAACAAATGAGGGCAAAGTTAAAAACATACAGGAACTAACTGCTACTAACAATAACAGAAGAATAAGAACAAGCAGAAAGTTGTGTCAGCGTTAGAGGAGATACAAGCCAGGTAATAAACACCACAGAGGCAGCGACCGTAAACTGGAGTAAAAGAAGCTGCTGCAGCCTCTCAGCTGGAAATGATCAAAAATTAAACAAAAACAAGCCTGGTTGCATATATGACTAAAATAATTACTGATATTACTGAATAAAAATCATGCAAAATTAAAGAAGTTTGACTCTTGCTTCCAAGTTATATTGTACATGTAAGAACAAAACAAAAAACAAAAAGTTCTGGTTGCATCCTAAGTATCATAATCCAAAATACAAAGGCCCTGATATGCACCGACTGCACTGATATCATCTAGCACCATTATTTGCAAAAACAAAAACAAGATATAAAACATTTGTGGGGAGGGAAAGAAGGAGAGTGCTTTAACGTGTTTTTTTTTGTTGTTGTTTTGTTTTTTAACAATGTTATTGTGAAAAAATGAGTTCAAGATGCAGAGTGGGTGTTATTTCTGAGCACAGAATCAACAAAAACAAAATGTTAAAAGATGGGAGATGACAGGTTTAAGTATTGCTACAAAGCAACATCGTGCTCTAGTGTTTTGGATTTTAAAAAAAAGAAATAGTACAACTAGCACTGACACGCATGGCTAAACAACTAAACATGAATACTCTTCAAAGAAAAAACAAAACAGGAAGTTTAATTTTAGATCACCTCATTTTTTTCTCAGAGGAAATTAAATCAAAGACATGGCATGTTGGGTTTCCAGTCTTGTGCAAAATAAATATCCGATTAAATCTGCACGCAGCAGTTTTCCTGCTTCTGAGAGGTAACTCGTTTTGAGATGAGAACCGACGTAGATTTCAGAGTAAAACAAATAAAAAGCGCGAGGCAGGTGGCTGGGAATCGGAGCTGACATGATCATGTATTCGCCTCCTTTATCTTCCCACTAAAAAAATGAAATAAAAATCACATTACAGGTCTGCTTTGCGAAGCGTATGTACACAGAAGATGCTGTGTCAGGCCCAAGCGCTTTTTAAATGCCATGCAAATATTAGTGTTCCTTTGGTTATGTAAAAAAAAAAAAAAAATCCACATGCATTTTGTCCTTTACAAAAATAAAAGTATAGAAAAATCACCATTAAAAATCTGAGAATGCTTCTTCCAATGTAAAAAAAAAAAAAAAATCATTTGTCATTAGTAATATACGTATTATAATATTTGATTTATCATCTCTACCTAAATTGTATATTAAAACTATAATGAAATATATTCTTTTCTGGTACCTTTCACACTGTGATTTAATTGATTTTATGTTAGTATTTAAAAATTAAAGTGTGAGAGGAGACTCTTACAGTTTTGCAGCGCCTTGTCAAAAATACACATCCTTTTAGAAACGTTTCCACGTTTTGAGGCGCTTAAACCACAAACTTAAATGTTTTGTTGGGATTTTATGTTAAAAAAAATAGAATAAAGTTGTGTAAAAAAGTGATCATGTAAAGTAAATAAATCTGAAAAGTGTGGCATCTTTCCTCAAATGTCAATTAATCTGCAATTGAAACAGAAAAAGTGTTGTTGTTTTTTTGGCATATTTTTTTGGGGTCTACACACTGAAACGGGAAAATTTGAGTTTTAAAATTTATTTTAAAAATTATAATTTCTGGATTTTTAAAAACAGAAACCGACAAAACAAATTTGCAGAGATACCAAATGCTAAGTGTCTTCAGATGCAGGAAATTGGTTGAGACAAAACTAGAACTACAGCAAAAGGTAATTCAACGCCACACTTTTCAGATATTTGCAAAGAAAAATGTTCCACACCTAAAATCCCAATAGAACTCATTGCAGTTTGTTTTTGTAACAAAACGTGAGACGTTTAGTGAGGAAGAGTACTTTTCCAAGAAACCACAGCAGGAGAACATCCAACAACAAAAACCTTTGATTTCCTTCAAGGTTTTGTTTCCGTCTCCTGATAAATCTGCATAGCGTGCCGTCAAGTACAGGTGCAACGTGTTCATTTCATTGTCTCTTTTAAAGGATTATATGCTCTTTTTTATTATTATTTGTTGAAACGATATAAACTAATTTTTACAGTTTGGGGTCCCTGTGTAGCAGGAAACCTAAGTGCTTTGAAAATGCACAGACTGAAAGAGGAAAACCCAAAAACAACAATAAGAGAGCGGAGGCATTCTGGTGGCGTGTAATACTTTGAAATGCCCACGCGTTCGATTTCTTCATTTTGTTAGTTCAACTGCACCTCAGGGATTTAGGAGGAAACAAAAACACCCTCTAGCTGGTTTCTATCATAGCACGCTTGTCAAAAAATGCCAAACAGAAGGAAAACTCCAATTGAGTTCAATTTACAGGGTTGATGTAAAGCCACCAAAAGGTCGTCCAGTCCGTTAGTCTTCCTGATCTCAACTCTCTGTTTCCCTCTCGGGTCTGTGCAGCTTGATTGCCCGCACTTCTTTCAGTCGATCGCATAGCAACGTGTCGAGCGAGCGCTGGTGCAAAACTGGCCAAAAAAACAACAAGAATAAAGTGTTCAGAACCAGCGCCAGCTTGATCTGGACGTACCGTCTCTACAGCTGCTGCGGTGTAACATGACATGAAATGCAACCTCTGATGATTTGTCTTTACATTCCAAAACATATCTTTTTTCTTTTCTTTTTTTTTACACAAATAATAACAATATAGTCATCAGTTCCGGTTCTTAAGAAAGCAGCCAAGTTGTTGCCAAGTGTTATTAAGAAAAATCATTTAGAGAAAAATGAAAAGAAAGCCGTGCATAGTTGCCTCCCTGTAACCACACATCTTGGCACGTGATGTGAGGTCAGATGTTGGACTTGCTGTTTTCATCCAGCAGGGGGCGGTGCACCGGTTGTTCTGCTGTTTTAGTGAGGTTAAGTTGACTGGAGGTGAGATCCTGCAAGACAAGACATAATCGACACAATCGTGAGTCATAACAGCTCACTGGATCATCAATATGTGGCGCTCTTGATCAATGTGCAAGAGAAATTAAGATGAATAAAATGGCCGCTGTCGGACCGACCCGCATGAGACGTAGAAGGACCAGCTTGTCCACATCAGACGATGTGGACAAGCTGCTACTTTGACATAGTTCACTTAGTGAACACAGAAAGTGAGCAACATGGAGGAACTTTGACAGTTTCCACATTGTCGATTTTATTTTTAAGCAGTTATGAGCCATAGAGGCAAAACCTTAAACTGCTGCTGCGCAAGTTTCTCAATTTGTTGTTGCTAGGTAACCAAAGGATGAGTGAGTTAGTTGATTCCATCAACAGAGAGAAAGTTGAACAGCTAAAGTCCTTCCTCTGCCTACGTCCCCCAGAATGCTGTGCGATACTTGTTCGGAGTTCAGTGAAGTTATTGAATCTATTGATATTGATCACTTGTCTATCATGATCCATGTTATTGATTTATTGTCCTGACTTAGGTTGTGATATTATGGCAAAATGTTAAGAGATTCAAGTGACGTTCGCTGGTATAAATGCATTTTTCCGAGGCGGATGGGTTGTTAAAAATCCAGTTTTAACTCAGTTTAGCTGCTTTTTTCCAGTTTGAGTTGATCCTGCAGTTTTTTACTCCTTAAGCAGTTTAAATAAGAATCGTCTGTAAGGTACAGCAGAGGGGTTGACGTACCTGATGAGGTTCTGCTGGATTAGCTGGGCACCCAGCTGTGGGCCGAGCCCTGCGTGGTGGTCGGCCCCGTGTAGCCTTGGCCTCCGGGCAAGATGGGGTCAAAGTTGAAATCCATGCCGTCTCCGTCCATGAGGTCGCTGTTGATGATGTAATCCACATCACAGTCCAGGTTCTCTGTGAACATGTCTATGTCCAGGTCCGTGGGCAGTCGCTCCTGACCGGGCTGGAACCCTGTCGGAACGCCAAACGGACCAACCGCCGGCAGGCTCAGGTTCTGATTGGCAGCTGGGGCCGGAGCGGTGTGATGAGGGCTGATGGTTTGCACCTGGTGGGTTTTGAGAGCAGAGAGGGGAGTCGGGTCCTGGGAGAGTCCGGACAGGATCATCCCCAGTCCAATTTGATGCTGCTGGTGGTTGTGGCGGAAATGCTGCTGTGGCGGCGGCTGCATCTGTGTCTGCATCGCCATCGGCGCTACGGCGTTCGCCTCCAGCGCTTTGTTCAGCTGCAGCTGAGCGGGTTTGGCTCGCACGCCCAAACCCATCTGACCCAGACCTCCAGAGTTCGCCAAGAGTGGGCTGACCTGGGCCATTAGCACATCACTAGGCGGAGGGGAGTCAGAGGTCAGCAGCGCCTCCAGGCTGGAAGGAACATGGCCGCCGTAGTGGCCGCCACCGTGAGCGCTGGAGCTGCTCATGGGGTTGAAGAGGGAGTTGCTGAAGGACGCCGGCGGCTCTTTGAGTGAGACGGCGGGCTGGGCGGCAGAGTGCGCCTGGTGGAAGGAGGTGAAGCCGGAGCCGCGCGGCAGCAAGGTGGAAGCGGAGGGCAGCGGCGTGGGCGGTGCCGGCGGCGCCGTGCTGGGACTGGCCGCGCCCTGCTGCGCCGTCATCAGGGTGAGGTTGTCGATCAGGTCCAGCTCCTCCATGACGGTTTCTGTGAGCGTCGGGGTCAGGCTGCTGGAGGCGTAGCGGCCCAGCAGGCCGTCGTCAGGCAGGCTGTCATCGTCCTCCTGGCCTGGGGCGATGGGTGACAGGCGGCCGCTCAGGGTGCTGGCGTTGGAGCTGGTGCGCGGGCGGAAGGTGGTCCACATGTCAGCGTCGTCCAGGCTGCCACGCGATGACGGGCTGCTGCTGTTCACGCCCCACTTGGGGAACTGCTGCGACGAGTTGGGGCTCTCAGCTCCAGCAGAACCGCCGCCGCTGTCTCCCTGCAGCATGCCGCCACCGCCGGCCGCTCCAGCCTGCTTCTTGGTCTGCTTGGCTCGCATGCGGCTCTTCAGCAGCTTGCTGCTGTTGTCCATGGAGACGGCTCGGCGGCGGGGGGCTTTCCCCGTCTTCCCACCCTCGGGGTTGAGCATCCACCAGGAGCTCTTCCCGGTGGACTCATTGTGAACCCTCAAGAACTTGTTGTGGAGTGATAAGTTGTGACGAATTGAATTCTGACAAAAAGAATAAGAACAAAATCAGAAAAATTTTACTTTACAAACAAAAGACTCAATTATGTCTGAAAAAGGGCAATGTGGCTAAAAACATGTCCCAATATAGCATTTCATATCAGTCAATAGTAATTCTTATTGGTCAGTTTTTGGTTTTAAATATATAAAATACTGCCAAACTGTTGGCGTGACCTTTTCTGTTTTATCCACAGTTTTCATTTTTAAACAGTTTTGACGCACGGCGGCAAAACCTGAAACTGCTGCTGTGCCAGTTACTCCAAGTAATGTTGCTGGGTAACCAAACAGCGAGTTAATTGATTCTATATATTAATAAGAACATTCTATCAAAGTTAAAAAAATAAAAATAAAATAAAAAAAAAACACCCTGGGAACCCAACGAGTTCATTGATGAAAAAAGAATCCAGATTTTTCCAAAAAAAACAATTTTCAAAAGCCAAACATTTGATAAATCTATTTAGCTGTGAAGCTGCACACAAGATACATTTTGGGCAAGTTACTCAATGAGTTGCTGTTAGGTAACCAAAGAATGAGCAGATTATCTATCGATATTGATCACGTAACAATGCTGATAGATATCGTTATTGATTTATTATCCCTCAATTTATCGTTAACTGGAGTATAAAGAGTTTAGGAAGAAAATTTGCTAAAAAAAAACAAAAAAAAACATTCAGAGCAGTAATTAAGACAGATTTGTAAAAAATATATATATATATTCTGCATTTAACATAAAAAATTTAAATATATTCTCAAGATTTATAATTTTAGCTGCATCTGATTCAAATTATGTAAGAAAAATAAATAAAATTTATCAAATAACCCTGACCTGACCCTAATCACAGAGCTGCACTGAATTGATGTCACGTCAAGCAGAAAAGGCTGACTTTAGATGTTTATTGTTAGGAGTATACAATTATTATGTTATTGTATGTTAGGAAATACATTTTATTGTACCATTGTTTATTTTATTATTTAAAAATGAAATGAATTACTTGACTTTTAATTTATTTCTAATATCGTGCAAAAAAACTTCAGTAAAAATATTTTTTTACCTCATTAATTGTCAGAATTAATTGTTAACGGAAGAAACTTAGTTCCAACTGTGTTACTTCTGAATCTGGAACATTATGAGGCAAAAATTAGATCTGGACCTGGATCTGGATCTAAATTATTTTCTCAAATGTACCTTCATAATGCATAAAACAGAAAATAAAGAACATTGTGTTTGGTGTGAAATCTTTGGAGGCGTTTTAAGAACACAGCGGTCTTCCTATCAGACGTAACAGCCTGAAGGTCATGGGAGGTTTCCTGTTATGGCTGCAAAGATACAGAGTTAAATATTGTTCCACTGCAGAACGGGCCAAAGTTTTAAAGCCTTCTTTCTTCATGGCCCTGTTTCTTATCCAGATGGCAGAGAAACTGCCTGCCAGCTGGCCGAAAGATGTTCACGAAGCTTTTCCACAGCGTTTAATAAACACAAATTCTGTCGCTTAGAAACAGGAGGTCATTACTCTAAGGACACACTTTTTTAAAACCAGAGTGCTGAGTGGCGTGTCTGCAGACATAAGTCTATGTTTGAGAACAAATAAACCAATTAGATGATCAATAGATTTTTTTCCAATGTAGGTTGTGATTTTCTAGCCATCACAGATATCCCAAAATTAAGGAGTCAATTTTTCCTAAATCCTGCGTCTGTTTTGTCCTGCAGGCTTGCCATACAGAGTGGCAACAAATTAAAGGTGGAACAAAACAATTAGCTGTTCAAAGAACAACTTTTACATGTTTGTCTGCTTGTATTGCTCTTAAATTTGATTTTACAAAATGCTGTCTGTGCTTTGCTTGGAAAAGCATGCAACATGCAACTTCTTAAGCTTAAAAAATATTTTTATTTTTAGACATGGATGTAGTTTCTCACCTCCCCAGTAAAGAGTTTAATAATATTAGATGAAATCAAGGGAATAAATCCTGTTTCTATGTTAAAACTGATTTGGTTTTTGAAGTTTAAATTCAGTTTCAATTAACTTGAACTTTGAAGAGATTTTTTTATTATCATTTTGATACTTAATTTGCATATTAGTGATGTTTATTTAGGCAGTTTGGCTGAATACTGCCTAATTAAGGTAAAATAAAATTTTATCTTAATTTTGTTGAGGTAAAAGAAAAAATAATGCACATTTTCACCACTTATTTCACTGAAAGGTTTTTGCTCTTGCTTACAGTGTCTGTGTTTCAAATCTTAAATCTGCACTTTTTTTATTGTTAATGTAGTAACAGCTACTTTGTCAAATTCTTTTCTATTTATAGAATCCTAATATTTATTTTATTATTCTTGTCCATTTTTAAATATACTTTTATCTATACAATAATCTGATCTTTCCTTTACAATAAAAATTACCTTTTCTACTCGTTTAATTAGAAAAATTGTATGTTTAGTTACTTGTTGAGTAGTGAAAAGAGGAATACAATGATTACATTTTTGTAATTCTTTTGGCACACAAGTAATTTGACTTGACAATTGTGTGACAAAATATTTTGAACACCACTGTTCTATACAGTTGTGTGGAGAATATAATTTTATATTTCTACTTTAAATATTTTCCTATGTGCCCGTTTTCTAAGTGTATACAGTCAATAATTTAGGGACTCTGTACATAATCATGGTGCCCTTCATGTCTGAGGTGTTTTCATGCACACATGGCTTAAATGAATGGATGATCAACAGGCTCCTGCTGCAGCATGTTAAGGACAGAATGCAATAATTTGAATCAGTTGTTCAGGGAGGGAAACATCTAAAACAATAACAATTTCATAAAATGCAACCGTGGATCTTTCCTAATCTTAAATTATCATGTAGTTTTGATTTGTTGTGCAAAAAAAAATAGGAATTATGCGCAACAGGTTGTTTACTTTTGCTAGGGCTCACCTTCCAGCCGGCAGAGCTGTTGCTGTCTCCTTTATCTCTGAAGTAAGGCACAGTTTTCACCATCCAGTCGTAGATCTGAGCCAGGGTCAACCTCTTTTCTGGCGAGTTCTCGATGGCCTGGCTTATCAGATCCGCGTAGCTCTGGTTCCCCCACGCGTTGCGCCGGGAGGATCCTTTGCGGGGCGTCGCTCCGGCTCCGCCCACGCCGGCCACAACCCCGCCCTCCTCCGCCGCCGCGGCAGCAGCAGCTTTCTCGGGCTCGGAGATGATTTGCTGCGGTTCGGACTTGTCCTCGTCGGCTGCGGGCGGGGTCCCGGCGGCGGACTCGGCGCCATCCGCCCCTTCGACTTTGACAGCCGAGATGTCGGGCCTCGGGAGCGGCCATGTGCAGGAGCGGGGTCTGCTCTGCGGCTCAAAATCTGGATCGATGGGGGGCATTGAAGACTCCTCCATGCTGGTTTTCTAAACTCCGTCTGACAAAGTTCTGTTCTCCTAAAACATTTACCTTTTTAATATTTTAACGTAAATTAAAAAGTTTCTGAGATAAAAAAAAAAAATACATATACATATATACCTCAGTCACAACAGGGGGTCTTCAACTAAGGGGCCTAGAAAGGAGACGCAATAATCTGGACACACCAATGGCCTCTGTTAATCCTCAGATTGGAGATTAGGGAACCCAAATAATCTCCTTAATAGTAACTATCATAAACCTTCCGATTTATATATATAGAAGAAGTCTCTTTGTTTCAATGAAACACAAACAATAGTGAAGGAGTGTTGAGCGCCGCAACATCTGGATCTACAGAGGTTTCTGCTCATACAAAAAAAAGTTCGTTAAGTATAAAAAGTTTTTAGAAATCACCAAAGTAATATTTTAGAAATGAGTGAAAATATATTTCTGTACCAAATTTCCAGATTTCTTTTTTCTTACTTTTCCGTCAAAAATATTTTTTTATGTTTGAAGAGCACGTTTGAAAATAAAAACAAACAAACAAAGAAAAACACGCAAGAATATAAAAATCAGCAGTCACTAACCAGCGCGGCTGAATTAGAGTTAATAGTAAAAATGTCCAAGGAGCGACTTTGTGCAAACAATCCTGAGACTTTGTCCACTGTCTCTGCGTCCCGTCTGGGATTTAAACATCCAAACTTACGTCTAAAAGAGACAAAAAGGGGGGGATGTGCTTTAATCTAACCTTAATAAAGTTTATTGTAGTAAAAAATAAGGTAAGTGTTTTTAAAAAAAAGAACTAGTCCTGAGGTCCGTCCCTTAGGTCCGTTCCATTCGCCACATTGCGGCCAGGCGCATGTCACCAACTGCCATGTTTCTCCCAGTCTTGCCGCCTCACACGCCGCCGCGCAACAAACTAAACTCCAGTCTGGTGGGCGCCTTCGTGGACTCGGTGAAGGAATCCCACAGTTTGTTCCAGGGAACTCAGCGGAGCTCGGTCGCCAGCGGGTCTGTCGGCTCCAAGTCGCCGCCGCACTTTCCAAACAGCACGATAGCCACCGTAACGCTAGCTGCTTAAGCTCCTGCTACTCCAGAGTTTACAATCCGTGAAAAAGTCCGCGAAAAACCTCAGATAGGCTCCCCCGAGCATCCGTTTCAGATCCTGGACGAGTTTTGAGAAACTTTCTGTCGTCGTAGCGATCCAAATATCCGCTTCTTCGCTCTCTTTTTGACTTATTTTGCTTTGTTTTGTTTTGACTCGATGCGAAGACTCCCTTCTGACGTCTGTTTACCACTGTTAGGCAACGCGATCTGCGCCTGCGCCCTACGGAACTCTGGGAAACGGAGTCCTTCCATGTGTCAGACAGCGCTGGCATACACAGCAGCTCCAAGAGGCAACATGTACCTTGTATTATGTAACTGTTTATGAAAGACTGCTGAGTACACTTTGTTCGTTTAAGATGATTACGGGCAATTAAACAGGTTAGAGCGGTAATTGCTCACAGAGCTCTAGACCGTACCGGTTTATCTTTAAGAATTATTGTGATTTATGTCACATGACTAAATATAGGCTATTAAAAGTGCCACAAAATAGGACAAATAAAATTAGAGATATAAAATAGAGGAATAAAGAGTGAGCAGAAACAACTATTGAATTAATTTGACCATAAAAATAGTCATGAATAAAAAATATTACATTAAGAATTTATATTTTGATGTATCTTCATATAAAAAACACAAAGTTTTCAGGAAATATCAAGCCAAAATTTATTTTTGTTGCTTTGGGTCTAAATACAGAAGATGATAGTCATTATGATGGCATACATTTATAGGATTTATTGTGATTATTGTTAAATAACATTTCCCACAAATATTTTTCAAAATGACTGCCATCCCATTTTTTTAAATTATGTAAAGTGTGGCAGTATTCTGCAGGGGACTTCTTGTGGAGATGTGCATGATCTATCTATCTATGCATGTTAATTTTCTCCAGGTAATGTGGATGCTTTTAACAGTAATGTATGCCCATGTCACAAAAAGTCACTGCTGGAAATATTCTCCAATATGTCACTTTTTTAAAAAATGAAGGTGGAATGATAGATTGATGACGTTAGAACATTATTTTTCCATGAATCGTTTGGCTTTATTTGTTTAAGGCCTTTATTTTGTCATTTATTGCTGTTTTAAATTGGCTGTTATGTAACTGAAATCCTAATCTAGGTTGCAAATTAGATTGTACTCCAAATGATATGCTGCACAATACTTCTTAATGCTATTCTTTATGCAGCAAATCTCATAAAATCAATAAAATCCACATGCTGGATTTGAAAAAGGGGTAATGGCTTATTTATTTTAATCCAGCACACACCCCAGCAGAATGGCACATCCACTCTTGATTTTCAGCACCAGCTAAACTTTTAACTGCACTTCTTTTCATCTCTGAGCCACTTCTGATTGATGGATAAATCCATAAAAAGTTAAGTAAGTTGTCGTAATTAGTCTTCAATGATCGTCTATCTTTAGTATTATTTGAGCATGTATAATACTGAAAAATATTCCACTATTGTGTATTAGGAAGTGAGGACTGTAGTTTATCTGCATGTTAATCTAACAGCATACGTTTGTGGTTTAACCTCTGAGTAGCTTTTTGTGTTGTAATCCTGATTCATCTTGCATACCAGTGACTCTTCCCGTCCATTGAGATGAATAGTAACATGCCTCACCGAAACTGCACTTAATCTCCATCTTTAATGTTTGTTTTTAAACCTGTGCCGCTCCTCCTTCGCTGAGTCATGCATGAGACAGAGCTGCTGAGAGGTTTGCTGTTTGGGATGGTCCAGTGGCTCCAGGTGTCTGGCTGCCAGGTGCCATCAAACCCACTCTGCCTGTTCCTGGCACACTAACCTGAAAGCACTTGTGGTGAGGAAAAGGAAATCCACCACCAGTTTGAGTTTTTCTTTCATGTCAGTCAAATTTCTTTATTGCATCCAGTATCATTATGGATTAAAGATCCTCTAAGTTAGGATTTTTGGACTCAAATATCTGGGGATATGTTGCCCAATCCAGAAAGCTTTACTCAAAGATGTTGGTTTGTAACTAGTTATATAAATTCTACTTTACGTTGCATAACTTTTTTTTTTAAATATGTAATTTTAGGTGTATTTGTTGGTCTCACTTGAATAAAATGTCTGGATTTTCTACCCAACAAACAATCTTGTGTTACCCAAAAGTTCACCAGACATCTACATTTTTTGCAAACGTTTTATAAGTTTTATGTTGAAAGATACTGATTTGGAAGCTGTTTTCTTTTGCCTGATTTTGATATTTATGATAATTATTTTTATTTTGGTCATTAGATTCAGTGCAGTACAGACTACTGCACAAGGTCTTTCCTGCCAACAGGCGTCTTGAGCTTCAAAAACTATTTGAAGAATCTAAATTAATGAATTACAACAACATTTAATTTCCCTTTGGGATTAATAAAGTGTTTTTAAATTTGAATTCAACATATCAAACTTTTCACAAAACTTTATATTCTGGTTTGTCTACTTATGGAATTTTGAATATTAAATTATTGATGTTTTGATCATCTCAATACTTGAGTCATCTTTTTCCAAATGCTTTTTTACTCTTACTTCAGTAATTTCTTGGATGGTTAATTTAGGTTTACTTGAGTAAAAATATTTTTGAAGTAGTGCTACGCTTACTTGAGTGCAATTTTTGGGTGGTCAAACATTAGTTGGTTAATTTTGAATAGGCGGACGTTCTTTTGAAAAAGTGAGACTTCTGATTCCACAGGCGTAATTCCTGGGGGGTCCGGACCCCCCACGCTTGGAAAAGTCTAGAACTCTCCCCAAAAAAATCATTGAAGAAACGTTTGCATTTTAATAATATCAATATGAAAAGGCAAAAGACACAAAAGCGAACTGAATCTGCCATTTATCTCAGAAAAAAATAAGAATTAATTTTTAAATCCCCCCCTACCAATGTTAGAACAATGGTTCAGTCCAAAGTGTGGGAGGAGCAACAGCAGCGCTGAACTGTACAGGCTCAAACAGCTGTTAGCTGTTAGCTGTGAATTGTGGCTCTGCAGCACAAACATAAAACCTTCCAGTGAGTAAATACTTTAAACAAAAGACATGTAAATAAAATCTAAATATTTTTCTAAATAAACCCTTATGCTTGAAATGTTCAATTTAAGTTATGATACACCCAAATATTCATTTCTATCTACCTGTTGGTTCTCTGTCAACTAGGACATGGAAAAACTAAAAAAAAGTTTAAAAATAAAGCAATTTATCATTTAAATAGCCCATCCCTTATAGTGGAAGCCATTACAATAAATCGGCGTTTATGAAGATTGTTAGGAAGGTAATTAAAGCTTTTTTAGTTAGAATCTCAATTTTTTGTAAAGGTGTAGCAGAGATTAGATCAGTGAAACTGAACAAAAGTTGTATCTAAGCAACATTTTGATTTTGTTTTACTTCTCAACAGTTTGTTAATGTAGAAAACACATTTGATTTGCATTACTAGTCTTTTTGGTCCTGCAAATTGAATGTGGTTTAAAAAAAAATTAAACCACATTTTACGTTACAGTTCACTGTAACTTTGCCGAGATCTGAATGTTTAATCCCACATTTCTAAGACTAAAGTCAGAATTCTATTTTTACAGTGTGCCTAATCCTCTTCCCGTAAAATGCAGTTTAAGGGTCAGTGCGAAGCTTTGTTATTATAGACTTCAATCCCCAGAAGCCTTTGCTAACATCCGGTGCCTTCCCGTCCATTAGCATCCAAGAAACCCGAACCAACCTAACGATATCCATCTGCAGTCCTTCGAAAACATACGTCGTAAAACTACTCCATGTCGATCCTTCATTTTAACTGAATGAAAGATTTCACCCGATTCATCAGATGCAGGTGAGGCCAAAGGCCCAGAAGCATCGTCATTTCTCAGGTTTTGATTAGCCAGCGATAGCATCAGTAACAGCTAAGCTAACACAGAAGCTAATGCTACCGTTAGCATAGACCTGAAGTCGAGATTTGCCAGGACAGGAAAACAATGCTTATTGATATGCTCTGACAAAATTCGATTTCTTGAACCTAAAAACCTTTAAACATTAATTCCGGTTTAAGTAATTAAGTAGCTGTGGTGGTTTACTGTTGCTAAAAACGAAATTTTAGCCTGCGAGCTAGTTTTATTGCATGTTAACTGCTGGAATCTGGCAGAAGCCGCTGAGCTCCGCCAATGTGTTTCTTTATAACTTTATTTTGCTTTGCTGCGTCAGCTGTTTGATTAGTGGATCACGTTTGACTGACAGTGCAGTGAAGTTGTCTGTGGTGATAGCAACATGCCAGCTCAGCGGGTCGCAATGTGAGTGCGGCGCAGTTCTGGTGCCAGGCTGTCGGATCCAGCCTCACAGTGTTGGTGTTGTTTATGCCAGGGCTCTGGCCCCGTCTCCAGCAGCTGAAGCGCACCCGTCCTGTCCTCTCTGCTCCACGGCCTTCCTCCTGTCTGAGCCATGACCACCCAGATGGATAATGATTTGGTGAGTGCCACCTGAACAATAACAGTGAGCAAAAAGATGCTTTAATCAGCCTGTACGATTGCCATGGCGCTTCAAGCAGCAGCAGCTCAAGTTGGGATAATTTAAGTGTTTTGGGTTTCGGTGGGACGTGGAAGGGGGGTTGTGGATTAGCCAACTTCCACAAACACTTATCTGGGATCGTGACTGCTGTCCCCGTGAACACCATCTGTCTAATCTCGGTTAAACGCTGGCCTACTTTCCTTTCAAGGTTTAGATGCCAATTGATTGTACCCTCTTTGTGTGCTGTCCCCAATTTCAACCAAAATATTTGTCACATGTTTGGGAAACCAAAGTTAAGTCAGAGTATTTAGATAAGCAATACTGGTATTTAGAATATAAATGTCTTTATATTATTTACACCTTTTCAAATGACTAAACCAGAACATTTCTGTTTTTTATTTGAATTCCTTCTTACTGATTTGACTTTGGCTAAATCGGATGTATTGTTTGTTTAATGCATAAATTTGAACATTCTGCAGGTTTTCTTTTTTCTTTGTAGAAATGGTTTTAAATCAACAGAAAATGCATTGCAAGTACATATATGTCCCATTTGATTTGTACTCAAAATCTGGCCTTGCAATAATACATTTTACTGAATGATAAATTGTCCGAGAATTAATTTTGATAAGCGATAATATTGTTGTTTTGAGACCATTTCCAAATAATATAATGTGATGGAATAATAATAATATAAGAACACATCCTCAAAGATCAA